GAATCCAGATCTTCTCTTACCGTCTGAATCTGAGAACTAAACTAGGGAAGTTTAAAACAGGGAGGTAGGCGCACCCCGGGGAAGGTGAAGGAGCTGTCTTGTAACAGACAGCGACAGCACGGCTGTGTTCTGCATCTTAACGTGGCCAGGGACAGGGAGCCTGCAGCCTGTCCATGGACCCCAGCAGGAGGGACTGAGACCAACCCGCTTTCCTTGGGTTTGCAGAGCCACAGGCGGTTTACACATCACCTTTTCGCCTGCTGGTTCTTCTGACCCTCCCAACAGCCCGGAGAGGTAGGCAGCGCAGGCACTACCCGATTTGACAGATGGGGTCAGAGAGGGTAAGAGATGAAGGTTGAGCAGGAGGGAGGGGTGCAAGAGAGCTGGAGGTCCTGACATCCCACAGAGGGACAGGGTCCTTTCTGGGCACAGAGCTGGGGGGATTGACCCTAGAATGCAGGTGTTGCAGGAGGGGAATATACAGATATTTTGCTCCCCTTTCCCTGTCCAAGAGTGCAAAAGGTTCCCACTTGAGCCAGCTCAGGAGTGATGATCAGATGGAACCCCAGGGAGGTCCCACCCAGACCCCCATGGACCCTCATTCAGATTTACTTTCCCAGGCAGCTACAACTTACCCTTCATACCACAAGAGTCAGGGAAGACTGCAACTGGGGCTGAAATAAATGCCCAAGTCACTCACAAAAGTGGATCTTCATACCCACTCTCTAGGTGCCGCACGCCTCCTACTAAGCAAGGTAACCCCCTGAAGCCAGGAAAAGAAGCAGGTTCATCTTACCCAGGGACTCAGGAGGAACTGTGCTCTGGCGCTGCCACTCCAGCTCCTACAGGTCTGTGAGGATTAGCTGCTCCAGTGCTTTAACAATAAATCCAATTAAAGGGGAGGAATGCAGAGGTTTTCTTTCCCAGGACCGTAACCAGGCAGCCTTAAAGGGGAGTACAAGGAGCTAGGATGGTTTGCATCTCTCTTCTTTCCTCTGCTCTGCTTTGCCTCCCTCCCAGCCAGCAATATCAAGTCTGCTCTAGAAAAATACTTGTGCAAAGAGGCTCTTGTATGCCTCTGTGTGTGTGTGTGTGTGTGCAATTGTGTTGGTGTGTGTGATGGAAAGAGAGAGAGGAAGAATGAAAAACAAAACAAAGCATCAAGTTATAGGTCTCCATTGGCCTGAATGAGGCAATAACAAAAAGTCAGGAAAGCTTTCTAGGACCGCGTGCCTCAGTTTCCCTTTTAACCATTTCGTTGCTGAAGTACGTTGCCTAAAAACACTTCCCTGAAGAATAGAATATTTACATTGGCTGACAGGTAGAGACTGGAGACACCTCAGTGTTCCCCTAGCCTGTTGGCCTTAACAGAAAGGGGAGAGAAGCCCGTGGCTGCCCCACAGGGGCCCCCGGGTTACACGGTCCCACCCAATATCTCTAATATGTCTTCTTTCCTCCAGAAGCATAGCACTCTGCTCCCAAAGCCCACCCTCCTCTTCTCAGTCCTCACCCATCACACCCCAGGAGGTCATTCCTGCTCCCTTGTTGCTCTCTGCTCCCCCTGGTCCTCACGCTCCTCTCTCCACCCGGCCCCTAAACGGGACCTCGCAGCCTGTGTGTCAGCTCCTCTAGGGCTGCCCTTCAGAGTGGGCTCCGGAACCCCCGCCTTCTGCTCTCTCGCACTCTCCTCTACGCCCCCCGCAACGTTCACATGCACGCACGGCGTCTGTCACCGTCTTCATGAGAATCTCCCAGTCAACACCCCCGTCTGGGCTGTCACCCTTCAACTCAACATCCACATGCCCACTTGCATCTCCAAACAAGCCCGAATGTGTCACAGCCGCCTTCAGACCCCTCTCCTCCTCCTTTCCCCAGCTGGGTGAATGGGCCACCATCTCCCCAAACGTTCCAGTTAGAAAGTCCAGCGCTTCCTCTAGCTTGTCATCTTCAGTGTCTTCCAGATCCAGTCAGCTCTTGTGCACTTTCATTTGTTCCTTCGAATCAGCTTTTAAATTTTTACCTTTTATTTTATATCTTATGTGTTTTTTTAATAAATAACGCATTTCTATAGGTCGACAATGAGAACCATGGTAAAGGCACACATCAAGATGTGTCACCCCATTCCGCGCCCCTTCTGCCCCTTGCCCCCGACCCTATCCTCTGCAGGTGGCCACTTTTACTAGTTTCTTGTGTGCCTCTATGGTATTTCTTTACATGGATGTAAGCAAATAAGAATATACATAATTTCCGCATTTTTTACACAAAAGGCAGTAAGTCAGTGCTGCCTCTTATATTGTCATCTCTTGTATTTTCTTCATTCAGGCCCTCATCCTCTCTCCCAGGTATTATTGTGATAAGATAGGCTGTAATTGGTCTCTGGGTGAGGTGATGCTATAAGATAAATAAAAGTGGCTCTAGAAGACCCCTAGGTTGAACTCCTGGGTCTTCCATTGACTGAATGTGTGGCCTTGGGCAAGTGGCTTAACTTCTCTGTGCCTCAGTTTTCCCACCTGTAAAATGGGATAATTACTGAACTCATTTCACACACTAGTAGGGTGAAGTGAGACAAAATGCAAGTTGCTTAGAATAGTGGCTGGCACACAGTAAGCACTCAATGAATGTTAGCTAAGGCCATTACCTTTCTGCCATGGTCTGAATCTTTATGTCCCCACCCAAATTTATGTGTTGAGATGTAATCACCAGTGTGGAGGTATTAGGAGGTGGGGCCTTTGGGAGGTGATCAGGTCATGAGGGCTCCACCCTCAGGGGATTAGTGTCCTTACAAAAGAGGCCCTAGAAAGCTGCCTTGCCCCTTCCATCATGAGGACACAGAGAGAAGGTGCCTTTTATGAACCAGAAAGCAGGCCCTCAGCACACCCTGTATCTTGCTGGTGACTTTATCTTGGACTTCTCAGCCTCTAGAACTGTGAGAAATATATTTCAGTTGTTTAAAAGCTACCCAGTTTATGTTATTTTATTATAGCAGCCCAAACAGACTAAGACACTCTCCCATCCAACTTTTTTTTTTTTTCCTTTTTGTCTTTTTTCGTGTCCGGCAATGGATCGCAACCCTCGGCACCGCGCCCACACCTCGCTCAGCCAGTGAGCGGGAACCGGTCTGTATGTGGGATCCAAACCCTCGGCGGGGGGGCCTCTGCGCTCCCAAGCGGTGCACTGTAGCAGTGCGCCACCGGGCTGGCCCAAGTTCTTTTTTTTTTTTTTTTAAAGATGACCAGTAAGGGGATCTCAACCCTTGGCCTGGTGTTGTCAGCACCACGCTCAGACAGTGAGCAAACCGGCCATCCCTATATAGGATCCGAACCCGGGGCCTTCGTGTTATCAGCACCGCACTCTACCGAGTGAGCCACGGGCCGGCCCCTCCCATCCAACTTTTAATCTTGCTAGAATTATCTCAATAAAACATACTGTTTCTGGCTTGAAAATATTCATTACCTACAGAATAAAATCCAAATACGTTAGCCCATCATTGAAGGCATTTCAGGATCTGGCACAAAACTATTCCCTGTCCCCCACATCTTTCCTTCTGCCCATCTGACATTCAGGCCATATTGTATACAGCACTGATTTCTAACATGCCACTTACTCCAAAGCTCCTGACCTTTGCCTGTCCTATCTGTCGGTGTACAATGCCCTTTTCTCATTCTCTGCCTGTGGAAGTGCTATAGATTTTTAGAAATCCGCATGAAGCACCACCTCAAATAGGAAGCCTTTTGAGATTTTCCCACCCTCTCAGAACTAATCACTCCTTCCTCTGGGCTGTTGACAAAACTCTTTGGCCACACCTTAGTTCTTGCCTTTTCTGCCTTGAATTCTAGATTTTTCCACGTCTATCTCCCTTCTTTTTTTTTTGACCGGTAAGGGGATCACAACCCTTGGCACGGTGTGGTCTGCACCACGCTCAGCCAGTGAGTGCACCGGCCATCCCTATATAGGATCCAAACCTGTGGCCTCAGCGCCGCTAGCACCACACTCTCCCGAGTGAGCCACGGGGCCAGCCCTCTATCTCCCTTCTTGAATAAAGAGTTCTTTTTTTTTTTCTTCCTTTTTGTCTTTTTTCGTGTCCGGCAACGGATTGCAACCCTCAGTG